TATTTAGAGTGTTTTGAAGTTCAAATACTATAAAAAGCACCTAAATGCCTGGATGCTTATCAGAACCTATAGATCTGGGCAGGAAACCACATTCTTAAATTCATGGCTTTGCCTACTTTGGGTGTGGCTGCACATGCTAGGAGAATGGTCTTTTGTATTGTATTTCTAGATGTTGTTCCCAACCCTTCCCTGGGAGTAAGAAACAGAAGAAAAGGGATATGGAGAATTAGACAAACTGATTGACTGAATGTCAAATTGTTGAAGTGGAGACCTGTAATCCAGATCCACGTGCCCCTCAACAGAGCAATGTCCATATGGAGCTTGCAAACGAATTCTGCCAAATGTACTCAAAGAAAAAGCAATTGTTTAAAGAAAGAGACCTGGGACTTTCTGCAGAAGCAGTCCCTGACAGTCTTCTATTTCCTGTGAAAAGTACTCAGATACTACCCCAGTAAAAAGAAGTCCAGAAAACATGGCAGCATCCTTTCCTGTAACACTCTTCTCCTTGTGCCCTCTCTCTAGCCCTGACATCCACACTGGTCAGTGATTAAGGGTGAGAGCCCACAAAGTCTCATCTGCTTCTACAGGACTCCCCCCCACACCCTCTTTGAAATTGCTGGGAAAGGGGGTAGTTGGATAATAGTCTAGATACTCCACTGCTTTATTGGAGGCAACAAATGAAACTTGTCCAGTCATGCTGCAGATTCCCATTCAAAATAATCTTCATCTATTGGAAATGTAAATGAGTTCACTTCTCCCTCCCTCCAGGGCTAAATTTTCAAAAAAGGAAAAAAATTGAGGGACAGGGTACATCAGGAGTTAAATTTAGCTCAGAAGAGCTAAGCCTGGTGCCCCTGGAAAAGTTGAAGAAATCAAGAAGACTGTATGCAGTTGTCAAATATATTTTGTTATAAGGTTCTGTAAATTCAATGTTCATCTCAGCAAAGCGCAATAGTTATTGTAACTATTATAAGAAACTATTATACATGGTTGTGAGTGGAGTCAAATAGAAATAAACATGAGAACAGTATGTTACAAAAGAAGAATAACTTGCTTCATTTATGGGTGTGCCCAAAGAAAAACACCATAGAGGAAACTGGAGGATGGTTAAGATTGAAATATGCACAACTGCCACATCCGTATTAGGGGTAAAAAAAATATAATGCTAAGTAACCATGGAGAACTAAAGATATCATGAATCTTAGGCTAGAAATTGATGTCACTGAATGAAGCAGATCTGTTGTGCCACAATGTGTTGCAGCACAGCAGATTCACTTCATCGGGCAAAACACATGTTGGCCCTTGTCTAGCTCCTGATGGTATACTCCTTTGATTATAGGGGATGGGTCTCCCTGAAGGGGGAAGGTGGGGCTTTCTCCTCTCACCCAGACACGTTCCTGTGATTGTGGGAGATAGGTCTGTAAAATCAGGTACAAGTAGCCCCCAAACCTCCAAACATGCATACTAATCAGGATATGCAGAGAAAGAATACACAAAGTTGCCATAACAGCCATAACCGTAAGAAAGCATATATTACATAAGCAGGGTTACAAGTGTAAGCACATTGTATGTCTGAGCCCTTTTTAAGGCCGGAGTTAAGGATGCAGTGTACCACAGGATCTTGTAGTCTGCCTTCCTTAGGATTGCCAGGAAACGCTTTATTCTGACCTTTCAACAAACCTACCCAGATGGCACCAAGCACTACTGTCCCTAGATGTGGAATGAGCTGACCTGATATCTAGTCTTAAAATGTTCTTTCATCAATGCTGATCTTGCTTATTCCTGTATTCTGGATACCTGGTGCCTACAGGTGTCTCAGTATGTCTCACTGAGCCTTCTGACCTATGCCCAAGGGGCTTGATCCTCCCTCAAATAGCAAAATATTTGCTGGCACTTTTAGGCCAGACATTACACCTTTACCAGTATAAGTGATCAGAAACCAGTCTATACCCATAACAGAACAAAAGTTCAGCACACAAAACTGGTCTGTACTTGTAACAGGATAGATGTTTGGCACGCATAGACTGGTTTAAAAATGGCAGAACTCAGTCTAAGATTCGCTCCCGCCTCCCCCTCCCACCAAAAGGCAAATGCGCATTGTGTTTACAACTAATCTAAACTACACCACTTATAGAAAACCATGTAACAGATCAATTCTGCCTCTGGCCTTTTTAATGTTTTTTATTTAGCCTTAACCAGTCCCTCTCCGCTATGCCAGCCCACCAAAGGTCAACCAGCCAAATCACAACAGCACTACCAAAGGTCTTTGGCTACAGAACATCAAACTGGGAAGTTCAGACTTTTAACCATGCAAGTAATAAGCAGCCAACCATGTGGCTGCACAGTATATATTAATGGATGTGGTGGAGCCTTCATCACTTGAAGTCTTGCAAATAGAACTAGACTTCTTCCCTCAAGATGCAGTCAAGTTCATGGGAGAAGGTGTGAGCTAATTGCAGAAATGGTTTTATTAATTTTCCCATAGGAAGCCAGACTGACTGTACATATGATCCCTTCTGGCATTTGTATCTATGAATGCATGGAAAAGCAGGCTGGACAAAAAATGATTACCCCTGCAGATATGCACAGCCTTTACAATATGGGCAGCAGCCCCCGAGCACAGTCACCTGCCCCTGTACTGAGGCGAACCAGATAACAAGAGGAATGCTGCCCCAGACAGGCTGGCTGGAGATGGGTAGCAGCAGTGCAAACTGATAAGGCTCCTGAGTCACTAGCTTCACATACATGCTCTTGGCCTATACTAGGTTTTCAAGGTCAGTATATTCCTACAGCCCTATTTTGCTTCATCCTAGCAAGAAAAGATGGCAGGGGTTATTTGAGGATGGTTATGATCCAAGAGACTGTAGAGTATGGTCCAAACACACTTGTACTGTCCTACTGTACATCTCTGGGCTGGTTGCAAGCAGGCAAATATCCCAGAACTCTAAGTTAATAAAAGAGAGGTATTACAGTTTTTACTTCCACCTTCAGGGCTTCTTGAGATAGGTCTTGCTCAAGACACTTGGGTTCCATTCAACTCTTGATCAATTGTCTCATGCTTAGTTGGCAAAGCCCCTCTTTGGAAAAGCAATGGCAAAATCTTTGGGAGCCTTAGACTGTATCTGCCACTTACATTCCCAGAGAACTCGTGCCCAAATCCCACATTGCTAACAGATGAATGGGAAAATTAAGAGATTCATTTCTAGAGCTGGATGAACTCTTTTTTTTTTGACCAAATAGCTTATCTGCAGTTTCAGGTCCTGGCTGTGAAATGATTCATACATGTGGGTCAAATTAAGCAAATAGTTTTGGCTGAAAAAAAATGGCAAAAAAGAATTTTGAGAAACCCACAATGCTTTACTATCGCATTTTCAAAATGCAAATCTTTGATTTTGAAAGGATCTTTTGTTTAGAAATGTAAATAGTTTAATGGAAAGAATGAAAACACTAGAAATTGCAAGAAAAGCTTAATTTTAGTTTGCCTTCCCCCTCCGCAGTGTGCAGACCCTGGCTGAGGGTCCATTCCCCCTCACCCACTCCCCCACGGCTGACAAGTTGGGGACTGGTTATGGGGCAGAGCTGGAGCTGGGGCATTCAGAGCCTAGCAGAACTGTGCTGTAAGGGAGAAAAGCCCCCACCTCAGAGGTTTTCCCACCCCTTCCACACCCGCTGTGCAGTCCCTGGTTGGAGGGAGCTGGGGCTGGGGCAGGGGTACA